AAAAGCAATATTAGAGGCGGTAGAAAACCAAGGAAGTGGAAACCCAATAAATCCGGTGTTACATAGTTTGCAGTAGTGGGTATCTATAAAATGTCTTTGAAGTAGTGGGAGCGGGGCATTAAGACATTAGTCGTACAAAAACCCGCTGTAGTGCGGTGGCGCGGCGCTGCCTTAATCTGCGCCCGTGTCAAGACTTATATTAGTCGCGTGATACATGTGTTGCGGCTATTTGGATAGTGTACTGGCAATGCATATCTCTTACCTAAACCTGAGCTTAAGACATTTGCTTCCGAGACAGGTGATTGGCACGCCCGCCTCACTTACCGCAATCCTTGTTTATTGTTCCTGACCTACATACTAAACACTCTGATTAAGAACTTGCCGAAGCTATAATTTTGTCAAGGAAACTGGGTCGTGGAGCATACAAATGTATGTATCGCGCGAAATATATGATTCTCGTAAAAGACGGCTTGTGGCCACTTAATAGTTGCCAAAACAAAGAGAGCCTTTCGGCAAAGTAGAGGAAAACTTAACAGTGAGCTTACAGGTCCAAGTTAATGGCTGTCGGAACAACGCTGCCCATTAAATGGGTAAATTCAAAGAAGATTTATATATGTCTGACTATACTGCATGCGTTGTTGTTATTTCAGTGCCGCACAGTCCATACTCTTCAGTATATAATGCACTAGTTAATACCTATTTCGTTCTATTATATGCAGCAGATTACCAAATATCTAATCACGTGTGTAGATATTATCCTCAATAATCTACATTGATTAGATAATCTAAGCACACAGCAGTCTAATTTAATGTCATCTTGTAAATTTCGAAGCCTAGCGACATTTATTTCAGTGAAAAATTAAACGTTCCGACTAAAGTGTTCAGTCCACAAATTGTTATTTAATAAAGAAATCCCAAAATAAGATACTAATTTGAATAAAGCGCCGAAGAACAAGAAATTACCATTTTCAACTTTAATTCGTAAAGGAACGCCAAGAAATGTCCGCAAATGACTGTCCGAGTTGTACAAGTTTCGCGTTCTTTGTTATAGCTCCCAAATAGTGAACCAGTAAACCTACATTTTCTTTATTCAATGAAAAATACTTTTCAAAAGTAACTAATTTAAAAAAAAGCGTAGAAAAGAATTTTCATGCGAATGTCGTCGCCGTGAAATTCTTTCGCTTCTAAACATTCCTTAGGTATAAAGATTATTCCGCGTGAATGAATAGCTATTGGAAGTAGAATTTTAACAGTCTCTCGGTTTTTCGCGAAACGTGTTCATAGAAAGCAAATCAGCTTCGTTCAGGTGTATCGGCATAAATTCGTCAGCGCAGCGGAACAATGCTACGTCTTGTTACGTCGGTACGAGCTGTTTAATTTATTTAAACTTAGGTACAATTGGATTTCGGGCTTTGTACCTTGTTGCATTTGTACTCCTTAGTCCGGGAGCACACACTGCGGTACATAGTTTACAATACGTGCTCAATTCCACAAACATGCTATACAAGAGCAATAGTCGTTTTCTAGGAACATCTCTTACCACGCGAAACATTTAACCTGACTCAAATTTTGGAACACCTGAACCGTATTCTGGCTCCCGTCGTCGGTAACCGTTTATTGTCCTTATGTCCACCTTCAAACTCGATTAGTATTCTTTCTTCGTACCGCACGGCTAAACTTGTGTCCCTAAACGTCAAACATTGAGGTAAAATACAATTTTAGAGGGATTACGTACTATTCTGGACAAGTTACCTGACTCTATTCAAAGGTTTTTTGCTGTCAGCATACATTTGGTGGTCTGGACAGCAGTTGGCTGTAGGCATATTGTTTAGTTGGTGCGTGCACGACATTCTAATGTACCCTACCCGCATCAGTAATAGTTTATGTGGTTATATACATTCTGTGCAACTAAGCACGTCTTAAATGGAATTACGTCACACTAACTTATTAAGAAGTTTCCCAAAGTTCCAACATAGTTTTAGGTTACGATTGGTTGCTCCCTAACAATTTAATGTCGAATTGTTGTAAAATGTTGCGAACAATATTGCGTTTCGTTTTCCTTTTAGTTAATAGACGTTAATAGACAAAATGAACCAGTTCATTAAGCAAACATGTATGGTATCTGAAAGAGCTTTGATTACGCGGAATACAAATGGGTAAAATGATAAATACGGGCAGCTAAAGTATCATATGTTTCCATGTTGTGGAATCAGTCTTTAGGTGATTAAATTATTTTTTCATGTTCCCTATACATATCCTTCTGATCTTTAATGATGTAAATATGACTTCTTATTTTAAAAAATATGAATTTGGAAAAGTACGCATGTACCTATATTGTCTACGTTCTTTCAAATGTTATGCTGGCGATAAAACATACAAGTATAAACATAAATATTGAATATTGCATATACTGTATGAAATAAGTTTGTTTCATCTGCCATTCATTATGGTTCTCGGGACAACACAAAGAATACCACATCTAAATAGAAATTACAATTTACTGAAACTGACGTCGACTGATGTCGAGTTTAAATATTACTTTAATTATAATGAATTCCGCAAAATCGTTTCTAGTTTTGAAGTTGTTGCCATATAACGTAAAATATTTTCAATTAAACTACCTTTATATAAATAACAAAGTTTTAATAGTTTCAAAATTCTGGAATTGGGTTATTTATTATTAAATGTTGTAACAACAAAAACGAGTTAATGTAAATAATTAATAAAAGGTACGGAGTGAGTGCCTGTTCAGGTTTAGGAGCTAATGTCGGAATTATGTGTACAACAAGAATAAACACGCTAGGTTTGTGTGGCAGGAACCTTAATAACTCGTTTATAATTCACAAGAAACACGTACAAACATTAGCGAAGAAACCTCTTTTCCTGACGGTTAATTAAAAGTATCGACAAGGATCAGTGTTCAGTTGATTGGTAGTTTGTTTGACTTGGGAAACTGATTGATTGGTTCACTAATAAAGCTATTGAGAGTACATTTACGCGGCACACTCGTACCCGCGCGCCAGATAATAGGATTCGCTGGCGACATTAATGGCTATTTGTCATCCGTCACACGAGTCACACGTGATTACTGAATTACGTATTTATTAATTACATTCCCGATACCGATCGGCTATCGTCGATTGAAATGAGTTTTATATTAATAACCGTCGATGATCCCAAGTATTTGGCCGGTTAACCTTTGTAATATTTGAGAAGCGCTTTATTAAGATATTTCGATCGTATCAGCCTTTATGAAATCGCGATCTGCCTGTGGCTGTGCAGCGGATACCTTCAAAGAGAGGAACGCGAATGTTCGCTACAATGGCCCGGTTAAAACAACGCTCGTTTTTGTATTCTCTGTTGTATCGTTTTTGTTATCAATACTGTTTTTCTGAAGACTCAGTTTGCATGCAAATGAATAAATACCTACAGCATTTTGTTTCTAAAACTTGCTTCTTCCTATTTCGAACGTTTTTATGTTAGTGTCATTTGTATTGTCTATGATGTTTCCTTTCATATATCCTGTGAATAACGTACTTCAAATACATAACTATGAAAATAAATGAACCGGTAACAACAAAACGTTTGATATACGTACTTGAGGTAACAAAAACATTTTGAAATTGATCCTACACAAAAAATATTTGATTTGTGCGCGGTATGTATACCTACACCGGTGCGTATCTTGTTAGGATAATTGGTTTCTATATTTAAATATATACGCGTGCCTTCAGCTGACAGGTATGCCTATATTTTGTAAAAACATTTCTCATGTTCGTGGATTTTGAAACTGACATTGGATTAGCGGCTCGTTGGACTGTCAGTCAATCGAGAAAAATGCAAAATGTCCGCGGCGGGTCAGCTGGCGCCATACAGCTTATGTGCTTTAAATGCAATCACGTGCAAGCCCTGGGAACGTCGCCGTATATAAATATATGGGTGCCACCGTGACGTGGAAAATATATGGCTAATAAATAACACCCGCGATCGAATACTCGTCTAATCCAAACGGACTGAAAGATTTAATTGCGAATTATGACATAGGTACTGCTTTGTTTATACATGTATATGTTACGCTATTAGTACAATAATCAGAAGTTGTTTTTAAAGTACGAAGGTACATAAACAACAAGCTATAACTTTTGAATAATTTCCACACTTTTTAAAGGTACAGGAATATAAAGTTAGAATGTACTTCAGTGAGTTCAAAACATGTACTTAAATAAACTTAGATCATTATTTACTACATGAAGGGTAAATACCTTATAATATTCAGAGAGATTTTCTTTAATACCATCTCGTCTTTGATTATGTACACTTTAATCAGGAGATAAATCCGAAAATACCTTAAATAAAAGTATCAGTATCTCTTATCCGATTTATTTTACCATGGATGTTCTTAATTCCGAAAATGACGTTTATATAAAGGAGATCTCCATTTAGGTATGTTCTCCCAGGGGAATGTTGGATATAAATGGATTACGGTTCTTCCAAATTACGGTGTTGTGTGCTACGTGGATGAATCTGGCCCCACGATAATACTTCATGCCTGTTTTTTGGACTATTTTCGTTATTCACTTTAACAACGAATGTTTTCCGAAGTCGATGTTGGTATTTTAACTTTGTAATACTCATGTTTCTATTTATAACTTTCAAAAAGGATTCCAGTAGAATATTTATTTTAACAGTCTGATTTCGTTGTAGTAGCTCCTTAGATATTATCAATTCATAGAAAATAGTCTTAAAAAGTACCTAAATTTCATTATGATTTTGGTTTCAAAATAAAAGGAAGGAGTCCTTATTATTTAAGCAAAATTTTTGCGAGTGTTAATACAAGTATTTACCTTTATTCTTAGTCCAGAATAAATCAATCGAACTTTACAACTTAGTAAAATTGAGAGTTTTTAACGAGGTAAATTAAAACAATTTTTATCGCTCTTAAATCTTATCTGGAACATTTGGCGTCCAAGTTGTAACTGCTTGCAGCTTCATAAGCGTATCTAAAGATTTACTAACTTTAAATCACTCCCAGATATTTTATCATACCCGTCTCTGAACAGAAGAGAAATAAAATTAAAATAAATATACCGAAAACTTACTTCGAAAGTCTTCGAGTGTACAGAAATAAGATGTTTTATTATGTTCCAATACTGAATTATTGAAGACAAGAGTATTCCTTTATAGCTATTTTTGATTCGTGTTATTGAATATTCATATCTACAGGGCAAAATGTTGAACCTAAAAAATCGGTCAAAAGAAACAAATGGTTCGGTTATCTTACATAAATAGGCTATCCCCATCCATACGAAAAATATTTTTTATTCTTGTGAATAAAAGTGGATTCCTTGTATTCTTTATTTTACTGTTTAAACGAAACAGGTTGTTTTTCGCATTTCACGAACCTTTTGATAAAATTCCTTTGTTTCTTTTTTGACAAAAATTTTAGTTATTTATAAAATGTTGTCTAAAATTCGACAAATCAGGTGGCGGGATCAACCCAGTTTTAGATACGAATACATAAACAAAAATTAGATTACATAAATAAATATTCGTTATCCTTTCGTTTCATGTAAAAACTAACTAGGTTACATAAAATCTAAATAACACAATAATTTATATTTCGGTAACTGAAGCGATATAAACAAATGTACAGTAATATTATTTGTCGGTACACGGAACTCTTAGTAGATACAGGACAGCGACTGCAGGCAAAGTGGGGTTTTACGTTTGATCCAGAGCAAATTGGAAAAATAAGGTACTTCCTTTTCCTCCACTTCCTTTTTAATATAAAAATATTGTGGGTACTGCAGAATTCACAAATTACAACCTATACAATATAGTAAATAAATACAGCGGAACGTCTTCGGAATTGAGATAGTAAAAAATACAAACGACGTACGTGCTCATGGCCATAATTGAAGGTCGTTGCCAAAGTTTACAATGATGCTAGGAACATAATAATACAAGTTCGGTCGTAAAGTGTAACAGCTGCATGGGATGTAATGATACTTACACTCGAACCGCGCCGAAATGGGATATTGAAGAGGCCATGATATGGAAAAAAGCGAAGCAAGTACGGAGTAGACGGTAACCCCAGATACAAAGAAAACTCGACAAGTCAGTACGTCAATGAAGCTCTTCTGAAAAGGCCCTCCGTGGCCAACAAAGCGTTATTATCATTTAATACACACTAAATAAAACGACTTCCTCGTTGTAATCGAGTAAGCACCTTTTGTGCCGTTATTTTAACTAAGCGCTTTTATTAAAGGAACTACTAAATGTTTGTGTTGATTAAAACGCTCGTTTGCTACCAAGCCTTCAAAGAGTCGGTTAAATAGAGTTGTGCTTTGACGACTCGTCATTAGGTATCTACTGTCCTTTATAATAATAGTCACTTCAGTATAACGAGGAACCAGTTGTTTGCGTTGGTTTAATTAAGTGTAGAACTATTCTGTCGCAAATACATTTACGTTAGTTGGTACGCATGTGTGTAGGCATGAAATATTTGCTGTTCCACGGCAAAGTTTATCTCGTTTCCATGGAAACAATAGGTACGTATGAGACATTTTCATAGTTTTAATTACTCCTGTGTATAGGACAATTGGCACGGAGGGGCTGGAGAGCGGTGTGTGTGACAGACAGGTGCCATGAAGATGACGTTAGAACGGCCCCTGGGGCGCGGAACGAGTGCGCGCCTCTACTTGTACCTGTCAGTAGGAAAAGCGCTCCAATTCACTGCCTGTTAACCGATATATTACTGAGAGAGTTTCATGTCAGACCGTCATCCCCTTAATTTTCACGTTTTGTTTTTTGGATCCCTAGAATTACTCGCAATTTATAAACTTGTTACTTCAAATTATTTCATTTAAGAACCTATTTTGTTTACATTTTATTACGTCGACGGTACGAAAGCTCCGAGTAAAAAGAGTTTACAAATTAACAATAATAAGCGAGTCTTAATGTTTAGTTTTGTTGTTGCTCCTAACAACAGCCATAATATAATTCACAGTACAGACATTCTGCAGAACGTTTTATTGGTCTTCTGGGGAGGATCACGAACTTTGGATTTCTTATAGTTAGTCCAGGTCGGTCAATAGTCACATAAAATGCGAGTTATAGCAAAGAGCAACATTTAATGTATCAGCGCGAATACGTTCGTATACATTCAATTACTGAATTTTATTTTATTAGTAACAGTATTAAATTAGTTGCTCACACTTTACAGGTGTTTCGAAAGAGAGTCGTATGCATATGTACTAGTAAAAAGTGTAGAGAGAATTCAACTTAGTAGATTTGTCGACACCGGGCCGTCGCGTCTGTTTGCTGGACTCGCAGCGCGACATGATTCACTGAACAAATTTGTGAAAATCGCGTTTGAACGCGTCATACATTTGTGTTTGTGTATTTTATTTTATCATGAGCCCGATCGGAACCGGCGACATTTTTACGGGCCGTGAGCTACGTACACAGGTAGCGTATACATCTAAAGCAAAAGGGTTAACATGAGCGGAGTAGCTTTTTGTATCTGTGACCGACTTTGGAAGTTATTTAACAGTAGGATAACTTGTTAAGCGGATGTCGTTGGCGGTGAACTTGAACGTTAAGAGGCTTCTGGTTAATTAGCATGCGAGCCTCCCAGGAACCGTAATGACCGCCGCCGTATTTGTTGTGTTAGTTCGCCGAAAATGAGAGGTTCGCTTACATGTATCTACTTACGCGACTTTCGTGTAGATTGTGTAACTGACTTTATGTTGGTGATTAATTTAAAAGACTTTTTATGCCTACCAACGTAAGAAATAAACATCAAATATACTACTTGTGAGGGAGACATTACTTCGTTGATAAAAAAGTCGTAAATGGTTTGTTGTACTGACTCGATGTCGTTTTGCAGCCTCTTTTATTGTCACAAAATGTATTACAATTCCCTTAATCTGTTGATTGCTCGAGACTTTAATATACTGCTATTTTATACCGTCTTCACAACGTACCTACAGACAAGAGTTACACGGCTCCTTTTAGTTAGAATTAAATTTAAATATTTTCTCACGCGAATCGCAATGGTGTTTTCTGGCACTGGGATTTCTCGACTTACAAATTCTATTTCTCCTAGCCTTACGGAGTTTATGCACGTACTGCAATTAGGTACCTATACGGAGTTAAGATTACCTTTTGTGTCGTTACGAGGCTGTGTACTGTGCACTTTCCGTCTGCGTTTGAGTATTCCCTGTAGAAGCACGCTCCGTCCAATCTAATTAGGCTGCAAGTACGGACATAGCAGCGATCGAAACTTGTGGCTTATGAGGACGGCAACACGACTGACAAGATTACCAAACTTTTAACCACAACGTACCCGTCCGCTCAAGCGTGCCGACCTCTCCCATTTACACTCATCGCTCCTTACCTTCGCCTGCGTCAACTACGATGCCACTTCTCAAAGCATTTTTCTAAATTGCTTATTTAGACTCTACGCGACTTACGCCATAATCACCGAGGAAGCTCGAGATAAAATCTTTTTGTTGTGTACACTACACAAAGGACTGAAATTGCTTTACAATTGCGGTGAATGACTTATCACAAAACGTTCTCCTAAAAATTCTTGAAGCAAAATTAAGATCGCTGAGCAAAATGTGCACTTACTATTCTTAAAAGAATTCATCGTAAAAAGTTATTTGTGTCATAAAACTGTAGAGCTGGTCCGGTTAAACGCGGACATAAATTTAATCTATATTACCGTAGGCCGTTAAATGGTGTTTTCATAACAATTTTTAATTATGAACCGTGGTACCAATTGGTTCGTTTCGGTAGTATTTTAAAAAGGGTCAGTTGTGATGTACCTGCATAGCTGTGTACCGCAAAGCAGTAACCGTGGTTTGGCTAAAGATAAATGTGAAAAATTCATTGAAACGCAAACGCACTGACACTGACTGCAACAGGACGATATATAGCTACGATATAAGGATACATCTAGAACTAATATTACTACAGGAACGTTTGCAAACCTTATTACAATCACGTAAAGGCTATAAAGTACATCGATTATTACAAATTGGATAGTACCAATACTGTTGGAAAATAAATGTAATTCACATTAAATATGGCGTTTACAACCATGGATTTAATAATAAAGGCTGTGGTTTTATCTGTCTGGTGTAATTCTTTGTTCGGACATAATTTCAGTGCACGTTGCAATACAATTTCGGCATGGCTTTGTTTCAACTAGACAATGAAGACAACGTGTGGGACCTACTATTGATTGGGTTATTGATTGTGATATTGTGACAGGAAAAATAAATAACAAAAATGTCAGATAAGGAACAAATAACTGATTCATAGTGCCAAACACCGCTATTTTGTCAAAAGAAAAGAGTCACTTTGTCTACGAATATGTGTCGCAGTGTGAGGACCAAAAGGCATTTATAAATAGCTTGATTGTGTTTACATGAGCCACTATTTGCTTATCCTCGCTAATTATTACCGAGTGAGCCTTTTGTGAAGCTGCGTGCGTATGAGGATATGTAGAGCCGACAGTTTGCATTAAGTTGTTACTCGCTCCTTATAACAAATGACACGAATTTGTTCAAGTTGAGCGGAGAGCGGCGCGGTGCGGTGTGCGGAGCTCCTGCTCTGTTGCTCCGTAACTACATGTTTATCGCAGCTCCAGTTACAAATCGAACTTGTGTATTGTGTGAACGGAGAATTATTACGTCGTATTCACGAGTTCACGATGCCTTGCTCACTCAAGCTGCTCCGGATTGATACATTTCAATAAGGCCTACTTTGAATTTTCGTTCAACATCCTCGTGCAGAAATAGCCGTCTCTATAACTTTCAGTGATCTTGTCTTGTTTTAGTGGTACATATATATATTTACTGTCAACTTTAATAACCTATTTTAGTCCTAAATCTGGATAGGGATCAATTTTTGACATTAGTTGTATGGAGTTTCTGTTTAGTCAACAGATAGAAAAGAAAAACGTGGTTGTAATAAAGTTAAAGCAGACACAGATTAATAATGTATTAGTAAAACAATTTATGTAAAAGCCGTGCAAACCAGTGTAAACGTAAAAAAATCTTAACGGCTGAGCAGTACAATTTGTTTAATGCCTAAGCTAACAGAGGCGATATGAAACACCTTAATTTGTAGATCCCTCATAATATTTTAAATATTTCTTAAACCGGGGTCTTTGTTTAACGGTCTCGAAAATTCAAACAAATTACGTTTGATCGGTTAAATTAAACGGTACGTAGCAGTGTTCTCGGGAGAACGATTTACTTTTAGAGCCTTTTGATGAGAGAAATATTCCCCTAATAAAAAATAGAATGGGGAATTTGTTATCATTTGGCTCGTTTGAGCTTTTAGCTACCAATTAAATTATTTTGTCACTAAACGAGTAAATAATTATCACGTTTATTTAGATTAATAAATATTTTGACATGCTGTTAAACTATTTAATATTTAATAAAAATCAATGAGTTTTGTTATGTAAACGTGTTTATAAATATAATGTAGTTGTTTTACATTCACATTTAAATTTCGTTTCCCATCCATTAGGTACCAAGACTCTCTGAATATCAGATTGTATCTGAGCAAACGTATTGTAACAAAGCAAATACTTTGATATTTATATTTTTTTCGATAAAAAATGAGGATGAATGAAGCTGTTTATTTTGTTTCCAACCAAAGTCTGTTCTTTAAAACGTTGAACGTATCTACTGAGTATTTGTTTTTCATTTCGTTAGAGCTTATTTGCTTTCTTGGAGGTCGCCGGAGCACGGAGGAGCGCGGGCGCGGGTACGGGAGCGGGAGCGGGCGCGCCGCGTGTCGCGCCCGGATGTTTTTCCGACCGATGTTTCCGACATTATATCAACCCTGTTCTTGACGCACTTGCCATTTTCCTGTAACTCGTCCCCAAACAGACAAGGAATTGTTTATGTCGTGTCTTTTTAAAAACAATGCTATCGACACGGTTTCAAAAACCTCTCGTTAACTACGTTAAAAATAAATGACAGTGCCGATAGAGGCGTACTTTTATTGTGTCGGATTTATACGAGCGGTAGGTAACTTAGTTTCCATGTTTTCATCGGTCTTTTTCGATTTGTGTCTTTCTGCGCTCTAGGCGTTGAAAGCTACCTACTGTGTTATTCGGCCATTGAAAATCAAAGCGATTTAGATTTGTAGCTCGGAACTTAGATTTATATTTATCGGCGCCGAACGTTATTGCGTTTACTGAAGCTGGTTCAAAAATATTGGTTTAGTGAATATGAAATTGCTACACGGCTACTGCACATACGTTGCAATTGATTGTAAATAAGCCGAGGTTACCGAAATTGTGATTTATTAGATCGGTTCATTTCGTTGATAGTTTATCTACGACAGTTACAGGTCAATTCGTTACCGCGATTTAGATTTAGGAGAGTAAATGACAAACTTGAAATATAATTAATTTGTTGTAAATTACATTATTCGTTGTATGCTCACTGTGCTTAGGGATGCAGATACATTTCATTCCGAGAGCCGTCGATGTCACGGCTGAGACGCGGTGCTCGGAGACAGATTAAGCGCAAGAATTATGCGAGAGATTGCGTTGCTAAGCGCTCACAGATTGAGTGAGCACAATGCATAAAATGATTTCGTCTCAGCACTTGTCTGCGCTCGAACACACTCGGAACTATGATTGCCGTCCCACTTGTTACTCTCATATACCGACTCGAAAGTTTTCTACGACTCACTTCAAGTGACGTTACATAAAAGAGCTCATGAATCCGACTCGGATGTCGACTTTCCATATTATGACGCATGCCACTGACGTTTATGACTACTTCGTTAGATTTGCATTACTGAATATTAAATTGATATCCCTTTGCGTCGTCGGAATATCATTTTCAATGATTTATATTGCACGAAATTGGTTTATTGAACTATACAATGATTGCACCCAATAATTCAGTTTATTGGACTGTTCAAAATTGAAAAGTTTTCAGTCGATTCAATATTTTCGCGTTTCCATGTTAGTGATTAGATTGTGTCTGGCAATATCTATAAGAAAGTGGTGCACGCTGCTCACTGGATAGTTTACTGTTAGTAAAATATTGATGACCGTATTTCTCATCTGTTAATTGTGGTCTTCCAGGTGCAATTTCAAATGTTTTATGGCTGGCTGCCTGTAGTCTGACAATATTAATCTTTTTTCAAGTAGGTAGCTAGTGGCAATTTACGCAGCGCTATATCTTTCAAGTCCGCTTAGTAGATTTCTCTTTTAGCTAGCATTTGCGCGTTCCATCTCGGCCCGTTTAATGGGCAGCCAGTGGAGCCGCACACAGCGGATGCTCCGTTGTTTTCCATCTCCTTGCTTTTTCGTCTTCTTTCATTTGTTCACTGTCGACCACTAAAATGCCGTCATAAAACAAACAGTTATTTGTTACCTGTTACAGTCAATGTCGGTTTTTGCATAAAATGTTTCTCTTATAGCCGGGTTGGGTTGTATTTAACTCTGAACTTCCATGTTAATCGTAGTATCTCAAGCAAACATCTATATGAAGTAGATGAAATGAAATATTTCCGGTAAACAAGTTCGTCGCGTTCACTGAAACTAAAGTTTTCCATTCGCTTAGCTTTGTAAGCGTTGTAGGTTTAAATTACAAGTACGTGGTGAGTGTTATTCGTCGAAGTTGTGAATTAAGGCTGAGTACACAGTGTTCACACTCAGGAATATGTATGTGTGTGTGTGTGCGCGGAAGTTTCGCGCACCGGCACGCGTCCTGCGTCTCGCTAACGACTCTCCGGCACCTGAACGCGCATCATACTTGACAAATTAAATTCCACACTAATGCTGGAGCGGAGGAAGAGCAGGACGTTGAATACAGTCGCAGATTTCTACATCGTTCAAATTCGATTTAGGACAACTGCACACTTTCAAGGAATGCGCTGTATCAAAAGGGAGTGACGAACAATTCGATTGAACGTAGAGTTCTTTTATTGCGTCTTTATTTTATCACGTTATTGACAGTGCTGTCGGTGCCTACATGCTGGTATTTTCGTATAAATGAATTGAATGTTGCACGCTACCATGACAGATGTTCCGCTGTCGAGACCGCTCGTTGTTTGCTCTCAGTTACAGTGTCAGGGAAATGCATTTGATTCGTATGCGGACGTGACGCCAGTTCCTATTTTACTGTTTGCTAGCCCAAAGTTGCATTGGAAACGAAGTCAAAAAAAAATAGTAAAGAAAAATGTTGGTTTTTAGGAAATCTAT